CCACCATCATCCCCATCACCACCACCACCATCATCCCCACCACCGTAACCACCATCATCACCACCACCACCATCTCCATCACCATCACAATCATCACCACCACCACCACCACCACTGTAACCACCACCACCACCACCACCACCACCACCACCCCTAACTCCGTTGTTTGCCCTACCCAGATGGACGAGGTCTTGAAGTCAAAGGTCGTAGGTTACAAGATGAACAAAGTCCTGGGCTTCCGGCCAGCCAACAGCAGTAGCTACAGAAACGACAGCTACAACAACAACAACTACAACAACAACTACAACAACAGCACCTATAACAACAGCACCGGTGGTCGCAACAGAAGACAGGCACTCCCGTAAGTGGCAGTGGCTATACTCCGTGCAGGATTGTAAGACAGGATTGTGGAAAACAGGAAAGGTTTAGTTAAATGATTAGTTTAGTTTAGTTTAGTAAGAGACAGGATTATAAGACAGGAATGTGAAACAGGATTTTAAAACACAGGAAAGGTTTAGAATGGATTGTAATGAACAGGACAGGTTTAGACAGGATTGTAAGACAGGATTGTGAAGCACAAGAAAGGTTTAGTTTAGTTTAGTAAGAGACAGGACTGTCAGACAGGATTGTGAGAGACAGGATTGTGAGAGACAGGATTGTGAGAGACAGGATTGTGAGAGACAGGATTGTAAAACATTTTAAAGTTTAGACAGGATTGTAAAGAACAGGAAAGGTTCAGACAGGATTGTAATGAAAAGAAAAGTTTAGACAGGATTGTAAGACACGATTGTGAAACACAGGAATGTAAGACACAGGGTTGTAAAAGACATGAACATTTAGACAAGATTGCAATACATGATTGTAATGCCCCGAGAAGTTTAGACAGGATTGTAAGACTTGATTGTAAGGCATGATTGTAATGTACAGAAAAGTGGTGATAGGGGCATTACACCCACCCATACACTTACAGATTTTTTGCTTGATTTTATTAATTTTTATTCTTTATTCTTTTTATTTCTTCAATCCCAGAGCCACAGAAGTGGCGGTAGAGCTGTACTTCATCAGTGAGGTGCCCGTGCAGCAGATGTTGGAAGTCTTGGAGGATGTGGAGAGTTCTCCGATCGTCATACGGGGGGAGTCGTACGCCGTTAGACGGGTCAGGGCTGGAGAAGAAGGTGAGTGGGGTAAGGCGGGGGGTGTGGGGGTGTGGATGGGATGGGAGAGGGTGGGGAGAGGTGGAGGA